TTTGTAGTCTAGTCTTTTCTTCAGATATCATCCTAGGTGCAATCACTATATCCTCATCCTCAGATTCAATACCATCTTCAACTTCATCTTCATCAACAGTTGCAATTGAAGGTGCAATAACTATTTCTTTTCCACTGTTTTTAGACCTCTTTGGAATTGCATCAACTTTGTCCTTTGAAACATTTTTTCTCTTTGATTTTGAAGGACCAGAAGCTTCATTGAATGCTTGACTTGATTGCTGGCTTGTTTGTCGATTAGAAGATGCAACAAATCCAGGAGTTGGCATAAAGACAGATTCATTTTCTTCACTTGGTTGGGGTGCCGAGAGAACCTGTCTTCCTTTTTGAAGCTATAAAATTTGTGAAAGAGTAAGATAAATAAATATACATTGTAAGTAATTATAAATTGATGAAACATAACTTACCAAAGGACATCTTCTTCGATTATGACCTACAACACTGCAGTTTCCACATGTCATTTGCAATCCTTTTCTACTTTTCGACCATAATCCCTCCCTTTTTCTTGCCTCATCCTTTTCCCCTACTCTCTTTAATTTTGGTCTACCAACCAATTTATGAATTTGTGGTGGTTGCATAGCTTGAGAAGGATCAATTTTCCAGAATTTCTCACCCCTAACAGGTTGAATTTTAGGCTGGTACACAAACAAGTAAGCTTCTTTTGAGTACCACCAATGCATCTCATTCAGTGGTTCTAGTCTATCATGTTCTAATGCTTTAATAGCATGAGGACATGGTATTCCTGTCAAATCCTATGTCCTACAAGTACACTTCTTTGTAGCAAGATTCACAACATGTCTATCTATACCCTCAGCCACCTCATATCCTAAGTCTCCATTAGCAACAACTTGACAACCTTGTGCAATCATTCTAAAATCATGATACAGATCCATGGAGTATGGACAATACTCTTCTGTCCACCTCTTACCCTCTTCTTCAAGTTGTTTCAACCTTTTCATAACCTATAAATAATAGTGAAATATATAACTTATACATGACATATATAATCTAAACATAACACCTACATATTACTATCAGATTAAACATAAATAGTTATTATCAAATATTTATATAAAATAGTGGTAGTACCTTAATTCTAATGTCTTCCAGCATCTTGATTATTGGTTTTGCCCTTGCTTCCAAAATCCATTTGTTGAATGACTCGGTAAAATTATTTTCACATGAGTGGTTTTTGCAGACAGTGTCAAAAAAGGCCCTGCACCAGTGTTGTGGTGGATACCATAAAAGATCTTTGGCTGCTTGTTTAGACACAGAACCCATAGACTTTAATTGGTCATTAAATTCCTCTTCATAGGTACTCCAAGCAGACCACCAAAACATCTTCTTCATCTGTACACCACTCCAAGACCTGGACCAATTGGCTTCTATGTGCCTTGCACACCATCTATGTTGTGCTTTTGGAAGCAAATCACCAACAGCGCCAATCAAGCCCTGTAACAACAAGAAAAAATAGAATAGAATAACTTTAAAAAATTCAAGTGTATACAATAATTATAATAAAAACTATTAAACACTTGCAAAATTACCTTTTGCATATCAGACATAAGTGTCAATCATTCACCATCTGCCAACCCCAATGAGTTCCTCAACAACTCAATGAACCATTTCCATGTTCTAATAGTTTCTCTATCCACTACTGTCCAAGCAAGTGGATAAAAATGCTTCATTGAATCTTGTCCAAGTGCAACCAATAAAATTCCCTTGAACTTCCCTTTTAAAAAGGTTCCATCTAACCCTATAAATGGCCTCAGCCCAGCTCTCCAGCCACTTTTCAAAGCCTGAATACAAATATACATTCTCAAAAACTTTCTTTGTCCATGTTCCAACAAAGCCTCTTTGGATATGTTTATAATCACATCAGTACCAGGGTTGTTGTCCCTTAACTCTTGAGCATAACCCTCCAATTTATTGAAATCATCAACATAGCTACCATCTAATTTCTCTAGCACAAGTTTTTTGACCCTCTTCATTTTTGAATAACTAATATTATGCCTAAAGTTATCATCTACAATCTTTCTCATTTCATTCACTTTGCACTTAGGATCATTTTGGACCCTCTTCTTGAAGTAGTGTGCTAGAGCTTGTTGAGTAGCTCTTCTATTCTTGAATGCTTCTGGACATGTATGTTTTGTTTGCAAGGTCTTAATTTCAAATCCTTGCCCTTTCTTAACTTCAGAAATCAGACACACAAAAGGACAACCAACAATACACTTTTATCCAACTCTAACAGAGTCACTCTTATCAACCCTAAGGGCAACCTTCCTAGCAATTGAGTAGTAGCTTACAACCCTTTTAGCTTCTTCAAGGTTCTTAAAGCTCATACCTTTTTCCAACTCTTTAAAGTTGTCAAGTTGATCATTAACTTCTCTTTTCTTTTCCAACCTAAAGGATTCCAATTCTTCACTATTGTAGTCACTGGGATAAGGTTCATTTTCATCATTTTCTTCCTCACTTGATTCACCTTCAGTTGCAGCATCTAATGTGACTAGGTAAGGTTCATTTTCATCATTTTCTTCCTCACTTGTTTCACCTTCAGTAGCAGCATCTATTGTGACTAGGTAAGGTTCATTATTGTGGCTGATGTCAATAGCTGGAACAACATCATCCCCCTCATTTACAACAAACAGTTCAAGTACACCAGACCTAACAGACAGTGCTATTTGTATTGTTCTTATGCCAGAATCCCCCTCAATCAAATAATACCTCCCAGAAGGTCCTTTGAGTAGAAGTTGTTGGACCTTACTAAAACCTAACTTTTCATGAAACTCTTCACATATGTCTATATATGACAATAAATCTGGATCATACTCATTCCAAACATGAGTCAATTTTTTAATGTAAATAACAATAGGTGTCAGTACCCACCTACCCCCATAATAGAATAATAGGTCCACCTTGTCAACCATTCTTCAAGAAAAGGACATTATAGACAAAAAAGAAAGAGAAAAAGGCTATTAGACAACAACAAAATATTTTAAAAAACAGAGGAATCTACCAAGAGTAAAGGAATAGGGACCACATTCATCAAAGTAAAACTTTACATACACAAAAACATAGAATACAATACCTAGAATCCAAAAAATAGACCATTCAATAAAATATTTCATACCTAACAACTGTAAAGGTAAATCAAACTAACAAATACACAAATCGAAAAGAATTATAACATAAAGAGAGAGACAACGAATAAAGACAGAAAAGAATAAAACTTGAGACAACAATATAAAAATCCTACTGGAAATCAATATTGTAACACAGTACACTAACATAATTAGACAACACAAAACAAACTATTGTATCACCATAATAATTGTCAAAAAAGAATAGAAAACATGGAACATTTACATTAATAGAGATCGATTCTCAAAACAAGTAAAATCAATAAAAACCTAAACCCTAACTGAAATTTCGAAGTGCACAAAAGTTTTTACTTGAGTTTAAGTCGAGATTGTGAACGAAAATGCCCTTGCAATCTGAGATCTTCACTGATGAGTGTAGTTATTAGGATTGATGTTCTAAATCCTCTGTAGATCGTGAAAAAATTGGAAGAAAATGAAGTGTTTATTTGGGTTTTAGGGTTCTCTTAATTAGATGGGTTTTTTTTGTATTGGGTAAGTAGGGGCGAGTTTGATAACATTTGGGGTGGGTTAAGTTAAAATGGGTGGGTAATGGATGGATTTAAAATTATATTAAATAATTAAATTACAACCAATGGTTGAGTGCCACGTAATTAACAGTATTATTTAATTATTTTAAATTGTAATCTGTTAATGAAGGGGGTAAATTTGAACCCAAAGGTGGATGAGAAGGGTATTTGGGGGCCAATAGGTGGATGGGGGGTAATTGTGTACCATTTCCAATACTTCGAGGGTATTTTAGGCCCTTTTCCGTTGAAACAATGAACAACATTTATAAAGGCAATACACATCCTGCATTATCTCAACCACTAAGCCATAAAAGAAATTAAAACTGACCTCCTAAGTCACACGTTTCTAGTAACTTGGAAATAGCAATCATATACCCTTAAAACTAGGAAAGCAGAAACTAGCTTAAGTAATTAAAATATCTAACAAACCCTCCCTTAAATCGATAAGTCTACAACTTCAGCTTAATAACATCATTCACCATAGCTCTCCCTTAAAGTGCAAACTCCAAGTAGCTTTCTTAACTTTCTGAATGTTGCCAGTTTGAGGGACTTAGTGAAGATATCAGCAGCTTGGTCTTCACTTCTACAGTAGACAACATCAATAACTTTCTTCGTCGTAAGATCTCTCAGGAAGTAAACTTAACATCTATTTGTTTGTTTTGTCCATGCAACATTGAATTCTTTGAAAGCTTAATCGATGAGCCATTGTCGCAGTAAATCAGAATTGGTTCTTACTGTCGAACATGAAGCTCAGCCAATATCTTCTTCAACCAAATTGCTTGGGTAGTGCACACAGTTGCAGCTACAAACTCCGCTTCTGTAGTGGACAATGTAACAATTGGTTGCTTCTTGGAGCACCAAGAAACATCTCTAAATCCAAGCATAAACACATTGGCTGAAGTGTTTTTCATGTCTTCTTTATCTCCAGCAAAATCACTATATGTAAAGCCAATTAACTCTGACTTGCCTTCTTTCTTGTATAGAATACCATAGTCAGTGGTACCTTGTAAATACCTGAGAATTCTTTTAGCAGCCAACGTGAATCTATTTTGGGTGCTTTATGTACCTGCTAACAAGACTAACAGAATACATTATGTCAGGCCTGGTGACTATTAGATACATCAGACATCCCATGAGGTGAGTTTGAGACCTACGAGCAAAGCGAGCACAGCTTCAAACTCTACGAGGTGAGTTTGAGACCTTGCGTATGAAGCCGGGAGAGTCGGTGTCAGTGTACTTCTCACTCACTATGACAATTGCCAACAAAATGCGGATTCATAGAGAGGCTTGAAGACGTCACCATTGTTGAGAAGATCATGCGGTCCATGTTGCCGAAATTCAATTTTGTTATCTGCTCCATTGAAGAGTCCAAAGATCTGGATACTCTTTCACTTGATGAATTGCGAAATTCTTTGATGGTTCATGAGCAGAAGATTGTTCAACAGGATGTAGAAGAGCAAGCATTACAAGTAACCATAACCTCCAAAGATTCTGGGTGCAGAAGGCGCAAGTGTAAGGGAAGAAACTCAGAGAAAACTGAAAAGGGAAATCGAAAAAAAAAATGGTCAGCATGATCATGATCAACGACACTCGTCCAATGGGAAGGAAAGGTTTCAAGATAAGTCTTATATCGAGTGTTATAGATGTCACAGGTATGGTCATTACCGTTTTGAATGTCGTACAAATCTGAAAAATGTACGTGGGGAGAACTCTAATTTTGTAGAAGTAATTGAGGAGGAAGAAGTCTCTTTGTTAATGGTGAGCCAATCCTCAGAACAATACCACAAAAGTTTATGGTATTTAGACACGAGCTGTAGCAACCATTTGTCTGGAGAAAAATCTGCATTTTCTGAACTAGATGAAACTTTTCTCACAATAGTCAAGTTTGGGGATGATTCCCGTATTGCTATCAAAGGAAAAGGGAAGGTGAAACTCCAAACAAAGTCTTCATCTATATATGTAGATTATCTATAATGTTTTATTTGCACCAGACCTGAAAACAAATCTTATAGGTGTGGGTCAACTTCAAGAGAACGGCTACGAAGTGTCTATCAAGCATGGAATTTGCAGGATCCTAGATTCTAATCTTGGATTGATAGCTGAAGCTAAGATGACGACAAATAAGCTTTTCCCACTTGATATGCATAATATTAGCTCTACCAATTTTTGTTTTTCAACAAAGGTGAATAGTCAAGCATGGATTTGGCACTACAGGTATGGGCATTTGAATTTTGGAGGACTGAAAATGTTGCAGCAAAAGAAGATGGTTATGGGTCTTCCTAATCTTGATATGCTTGTAGATATTTGTGAAGATTGTGTCATTGGAAAGCAATCCCGCGATTGCTTTCCAAAACGAAAAGCATGGAGAGCTAAAAGGCAGCTATAGTTGGTTCACTCGGATATTTGTGGACCAATAAACCCAATATCCAATGGAAGAAAACGTTACGTTATAATGCTTATTAATGATTTTAGCCGAAAAACATGGGTTTATTTTCTGCAAGAAAAATTTGAAGCTTTTATCAGTTTCAAAAGCTTCAAAGCTCTTGTTGAGAAGGAGACATGATGTTCCATTAAGATTCTTCGTACTGATCATGAAGGGGAGTATCTTTCACAAGGATTTATAAGTTTTTGTGAGTTTCATGGGATACAACGACAACTTACTGCATCTTATACTCCTCAACAAAATGGAGTATGTGAGAGGAAGAATCGAACAATCATGAACGTTGTGTGAAGCCTTCTACAAAAGAGCCATGTTCCAAAGGCTTTTTGGCCTGAAGCAGTTTGCTGGAGTGTTTATGTGTTGAATAGAAGTTCTTCTCGTGCTAATCAGAATATGACACCACAAGAAGCTTGGAGTGGACAACAACCGGATGTTCAACACTTAAGAGTGTTTGGGTGCATTGCATTTGCTCATGTTCCGGATCAGAAAAGTACAAAGCTTGATGACAAAGCCAATAAGTGTGTTTTCATGGGTGTTAGCAGGGAGTCAAAAGCTTACAAGATGTACAATCCTATCATCAAGATGGTGATTATCAATTGTGATGTGGTGTTTGATGAAGATAATTTTTGGTCATGGGAAGAAAAGCCAAACAACCAACAACTTCATTTGGATCTTTACGATGGAGATAAGGAGCAATAGCAACCAGTAGCCGATGAAGGTGCTTCTACCTTGGTAAATCAAGAAGGCACCAGCTTTCGACCTCAACGAAATCGAAGAAGGCCAACATGGATGGCAGATTATGAGGTGAGTGGAAACGTTCAATCTGTAAATAAAGATTCATCTACATATTTAGCTTTATTTTCTGGTTGTGATCCCGTAAGATTTGAGGATGCCTATAAAAATGTAAAGTGGCAGAAAGCAATGGATGTTGAGATTGTCGCAATTGAAAAGAACAATACTTGGGACCTTACGGATCTTCCAAAAGGCCAAAGATCGATTGGAGTTAAATGGATTTATAAAACCAAACTCAATGAGTATGGTGAAGTTGATAAGTACAAGGTGCATTTGGTGGTGAAAGGATACAAGCAAGAGTATGGTGTGGATTACAAGGAGGTCTTTGCTCACGTAGTCAGACTTAATACTATCCGATTGGTGTTGGCATTGGCAGCTCAAAACAATTGGCCGATTTATCAACTTGATGTAAAAGCAGCCTTTCTACATGGAGAGCTGCAAAAACATGTATATGTTGATCAACCTCCTGGTTATGTGATCCATCAAAGTGAGCATAAAGTTTATAGATTGAAAAATGCTTTATATGGGCTAAAACAAGCTCCCCGAGCTTGGTATAGTCGCATTGATACATACTTTAATCTGGAAAATTTTAGAAAATGTCCATACGAGCATACACTTTATACAAAACTTGAGGATGGGAAACTTGTGATTGTATGCTTATATGTAGACGATTTGATTTATACTGGGAGTGATCCTGCATTTCTTGAAAAATTTAAGCTATCCATGATGACGAGTTTGATATGTTTGATCTTGGCTTGATGCATTACTTTCTGGGCATTGAACTAAAGCAATCAAGTAGTGAAATTTTTATTTCACAAAAGAAATATGTCCAGGAAACATACAGAGGTTTGAAATGCAGAGTTGCAATTCTGTCACAACACCAACAGAGTTGGGACTGAAGTTGGAAAAGAATCCTATAGGAAAGAAGATTGACAACACTCTTTTCAAACAACTCGTGGGATGTCTGATGTATTTAACAGTCACCAGGTCTGACATAATGTATTATGTTAGTCTTGTTAGCAGGTACATGGAGCATCCAAAAGAGATTCATTTGTTGGTAGCTAAAAGAATTCTCAGGTATTTGCAAGGTACCACTGACTATGGTATTCTATACAAGAAAGAAGGAAAGTCAGAGTTAATTGGCTTTACAGATAGTGATTTTGCTGGAGATAAAGAAGACAGGAAAAACACTTCATGTTATATGTTTATGCTTGGATTTGGAGTTGTTTCTTGGTGCTCCAAGAAGCAACCAATTGTTACATTGTCCACTATAGAAGCAGAGTTTGTAGTTGTGCTCGCTTTGCCCTTGCATTTCCCTAGTACTTCTTCTTCATGGAGTCCCAAATTTGCTTTGATTTATCCTTGCAAAGAATTGTTTCCAATATTGAACGATCAATGGCTTGGAAAAGATAATTATTCGCCTTCAAATCTTTCAACTTCAGTGCTTCAAGCTCTGTCTGTTGAGCATTTGTTTGAACAACACCAGCCGCAGGTTCTTGGAATCCACTATCAACGACTGCCCAAAACTCTTTGGACCTCAAAAAGTTTTCCATCAACATGCTCCAATGGTCATAATGACCATCAAAGCGTGGAATAGCAGGTTGAACAAAACTCTCTGAAGCCATCACTCACTCACAATTAAAGCACATTCACCCTCACTAGCTCTTGATACCACTATTAGAAAACTGGGAAGAAATCAAGATAAACTCAAAAGAGTTTGGGAGGTAGTAAACCTCTCACTAAACTGAAACAATGAACAGCCTTTATAAAGGCAATACACATCCTACATTATCTCAACCACTAAGCCATAAAAGAAATTAAAACTGACCTACTAAGTCACACGTTTCCAGTAACTTGGAAATAGCAACCATATACCCTTAAACTAGGAAAGCAGAAACTAGCTTAATTAATTAAAATATCTAACAATATATTTGAACAATTATCGTGGTACTTGTAACAATGCGGTTGAATTAGCAAATCACACGCTAAATTATTTTCTTGAGTTATTTGCCGTAGGTTAATAATACTATGTTAAGCGTTTTGTCAACAACTCTAAGCCTATTCGACTATTCCAAACGGTCATTGATTGATCGTGACGTGCATGTGACATTTCATCTCTATCAACTAAATAAGGCTAACGAGTATATCTCCTATCCACGTTAGTGAATTATTCACCTTTCCCTAATTAAGGTTCACAACCAAGCCCTACTTTATCTTATTATATATACACACAGATTTTCTCTTTCAAGTTCAATTTACATGCCACAGATAGTATTCGATAATTGATCGAAGAATCAAATAATTAATTAGGCTCAAGAAAAGTAAATAACTAAATATTGAAAATCTGTATAAGCATTCAATTATCAAACAACAACCTTCATGTTCGTACATAACCCTAGATATTAAAAATTTAACTACTCATAAAAAATGCATGAATAGCATATGTTCAATGATTAAATTGAAAAGAAATAAATGAAAACCTACGAAAACAAAGTTCTTCTCCTTTCTCTGCATTCTTCCTCCGATCAACCTCTCAAAAAATGAGTTTGGGTTGTATTCATAGACTTCTCAAAAGTTCCGGGATGAAAATACCCTTTAAAATGATCAAACTAAAAAACTACCCGAATTTTGCCTTGTGGCGCCACCCAGTGTGGCGCCATAGGCTAATTGTAACAAACCGAAATCCTCACTATATTAATAAGAGAACGGGAACACCATTACAAATTTAAGATTCTAATTGCAATACTCAAATAACCAAATTATCATGGAAATATTGAAATAACAAGTAACTAAAGATCGAGATAAGAATGGGGATGAGAAATTTAGACTCTAGAAGAAGAGGAGAGGACAAACATTTTCTTCAATATGCATAAACCCTAAATCGCTGACCACTACCCCATTTAATGGAACCGTTCTCACACCCACTACTCGACCCGAATCCTAAATTAGCCTGGACCTATTCGTTGCTCTCGGCCCAATAGATCTTGTTAGCCCAATAACTACTTGTGTGACATTAGTATCCATATTGGGTTGGACTTGATTCATAACACTAATCGGGGATTTGAAAACTCTCCAAGTATAATTCATAGAATAAATACTCAAAAAGACACTTTAAAGCATCAAATGTGTGCCAATCGATAGCAAAAATGTATTGACTTATAGTCTCACATCAAGAATTTTTTAAGTATTCGTTTCATACTCATCATATATTATACGTGACAACAATCGATCTATGATTTATCCAACAGTAACTTTCCTTATTGGCCTAATTAGACTACACATAAATATTATTCTTTCTTCACTTTGCTTTCAGCATATTTCTTTAATTCTTTACAAATTATAATGGTGGGATCGATTGCTTTTTTTTAGTTTATTATTATTCCTTTGGTGTCTTTGTTTACACCCAAGGATGCAGGCAGGTGTTCGCATTATCGTTACGAGTACGATAGAAATTCAATAGCTTTTACACAAATATTATATTCGTCAATAAAAATTTTTTAATAAAAATAAATTTAAAACTCATAAACTCGAAATTCTAGTTATGTCTCTCATCATTACGAGCGCACTGTGACGGTCCAAAGCTTTACCAAATTGCACTTTCTTAATAGTTGTAATATATGCATTCTAACTTCTTCTTTTTTTAACCGCAGCCGCTTTTAAGGTAAGCACGGTAATAGACTGCAAACCACATAGAATATGTAAATCACATTAGGCAAGCCTTATGAGACAGACTCGACTGAGAAGGCATTTGAGGAGGGGATGAATCCCTAGTCATACATGTGGAAGACCACCCTCCAAATCAATTGAGGTATCCCGAAAACACATGTACTCATCATCTTAATGTTAATTAGGAAAATTATAGGTAAAGTTAATTATTGACACGAATATGATCCTCTTTAATGACTATCTAAAAACCATGTGTAGAATCATGAAGATAATTTGTCTGCTATTATGGCCCATAAGGAATACTCCCTCTGTCCACTTTTATTTGTCATGTTGCGCTTTTCGAAAGTCAATTTGACTCATTTTTAAAGTTAAATTAGATTACGTTAATTTGATTTTTTTATAAAAAAAATTAGATATTCAAAAACTATACGAAAAGTACTATAAGTTGCAATTTTTTGCATATCAATATGATGAAAATATACATCGAAAAATGTTGGTCAAAGTTCTTATTGTTTGACTCTATAAAAGGAAACCATGACAATTACTTGTGGACGGAGGGAGTATCTCCTTGAAATTTTAGTCTCAAAGTAATTAAACAATTCACACACTAAACGAGTAACACGTGATTAAGTTTCCAAGAAACTTAATTAAAATTCCTTAACCCTTCCCTATTTATTTGCTCTGTTCTAACTCTGTTTTCCCCATCTCAAATTTGGTTATTTCCTAAAATATTTAGAAATGGGAAAGAACCAAATCACTATCAACGATAGTACTATTCAATCCCAAGGAATTTGTGAAAAAAAATTCAAAATAGTGAATATAAAACCAGTTTCTCTTGAGTTAAATCGCCAGCAACTTCCATCGCAAGGGACATATCAGAACTTGTCTTCTGACTCCAACATGGTATACTACTATTGAATAAACTGTACTCTTGTTGTTTCAATTTATATGACTTATTTTTCTTTTTAGTCCGTCTAAAAAAGAATGATACATTTCTATATTTAGTAATAATTTAACTTTAAAATATTTATTTTACCTTTAATGAAATGATTTCTAGCTACACAAATATCTATGACTTATTTTAGACTACAAGTTTTAAAAATCTTTATTTTTTAAACTTCGTGTCAAGTCAAACTAACGGATATAAATTGGGATGGAGGGAGTACTTGTTATGTGTCATGCTTCTTCATGTCTTGAGTGAGTCTGATTCTTCTTTTATCTCTTTTAGGTCCAACAAATGAAAATACTTTATTGCTAATTAATTAACTTGAACCCAAGATCTCTTACCTGATTTAATAACATGTTGAAATTGTGTAATCATATATTAGTTAATTGATGTATTTGTTATGCCTCCTTATATGTGCGTCTAGTTTTTTTTCACGTACCGCATCAAACACGTGAAAATGTTAATAGTATGATCATCTCATTTACAAGATTATAGTATTTAATTAGTTATATTATGTCTGAACAGGTCCTCGTAGAATATAATCACATTGGAGGAGACATGAATAGTGCAACAACTCACAAGTTTAAGACTGAACCAATGAAAGCTATGAACAAGTCCTCTATAAAGAACAATATGATCTCTATAGTTCATCATCATCAAATAAATGAATTAGATGATAATGAAAGGTTTTCTAATTATATTGATCATGTGAAAAACAAGATGAGAAATATGTCTAATTTTGATGATGATCATAAAGTCACTCATCATAACTATATTATTGACCGCTCCAAGATCAACATTAATTAGAAGTACTATACACAGAGTTATGTATGAATAATTTTATCATATGCTTTAATTAAATAAGGAGAGTTTTGTTGAGTGCTATATATAAATTGATTTTTATTATACTTCATGTTTGTAATAGAAAAGATTGAATATTGGAAAAAGGAAAGAAGTTTTTTTATTGTTTGGTGTATAAGAATAACTTTCTCCCGCTAATCATCTTAAAGGACTTTTGATGGGAGTACCAGTTATTGTATGTGTTATTTAATCTATTCTTCCCAATAAACTAAATATCACACCAACCATCATAGAGCCTATACAAGCACTTATTTTACGCTATCTTGAAATGCAATCCTTCTTCGAACTCTGTATGAATACGAAATATTTTATGTATAAAACTATTTTAATCAACTTAAAATAGATTTAGTCGACTTATACATGATTGTTCAGCTAGCTGACTCTAGTGATTTGCATCACAGTTAGTGTTTCAAACACGAGATACTGATGAGTTGAAAGATTATTTAGTTGAGTCACGTGAAAGTTGGTTAGGATATCATGATCATAAAAAAAGTTATGATTGATGCCTAGGCAAACATGCCTTCAGCCTAAGCCTGTCAATTGAGCCGGTTTGTCTGACTTCAGCCCATTAAGGTCGGAGTAAGCCCAAAACTGACACCTGACCCACGTACTAAGTGGAATGAGACGGTGCGGATAATTTTTGGCATGAGCTCGGTAAGCCGGCCCGATAAGAGACCGGTCGACAGCCCACTGATTCACCAGCTTGGTAACGAATTTTTTTTAATAATATTTTTATATAATTTTCAATAAATGGTTATATATAGTAATCAAAATTATTTAATTGAAATTATACTAATTTTATGAAAAAACTAATTAATATATATTAGAAGTCTATGTATAATATAGTGTAAGCATTCTACTATAATTAATAGATAGTATATAGTGTGTGTGTTTAGTTATATTAAAAGTGTATATATAAATAATAAAATGTAATCAATTTATTGTCAACAATAGTTAAAATTATTACAAAATTAAATAGATAACAATACATTCTATTCTATTCTATTCTATTCTATTCTACTATATTATAAAAGAGAGTTTAGGCCCAAGTATAATATATAATATTCAAGACTGGGACTTTTCCCAATCTTGAATATTATATATTATACTTGTGGGACTTTTAAAATTCTATTTTATACCCAAGTATAATATATAATATTCAAGATTGAGACTTTCTTGAATATTATATAGTAGAATTTACTATATAGTAGAACTTGGGCATAAACTCCCTTTTAAAATAATATAGAATATGTATATATATATCTCACAAATGAAAAAGTCTCAATCAAGGAAGCAACATATATCATTTACAAATGACTTAAAAAGCTTTAAAATATTTAAAAGCTATATATAATTAAATATTAATTAATATTAATACTAAAAAGAGAGTTTAGGCCCAAGTATAATATATAATATTCAAGATTGGGACTTTCTTGAATATTATATATTATATTTTATTATATAGTAGAACTTGGGCATAAACTCCCTTTTAAAATAATATAGATTATGTATATATATATATATATATATATATATATATATATATATATATATCTCACAAATGGAAAAGTCTCAATCAAGGAAGCAACATATATCATTTACAAATGACTTAAAAAGCTTTAAAATATTTAAAAGCTATATAATAAAATACGTTGACTCTCAGAATTCTATCAGGCTCACATATATTGAGACAGAAAAAATAACACATATCATTTTAATATTACCAAAAAAGTATCATAAATAATAATAATTAACAACTTAAAATATCTGAAAGACATTTTAAAAGGGTTAATTTTGTAATTTTATCCATATCACATAAATTAGGACAAAGTGACCAGTAATGTACATTATTTCAAAGTTAGATAAAAATATTATAAATCACAATAATTAATAACTTCAAACATTTTTTTTTTAAAAATGAAAATTTGGATGACCCTCCAAATTTCATTTGTGTCACATAAATTGAGACAACAAAAATAACATATATTGGGTCCATTTTAATTTATTTGTCTTATTTTTTTTATATTTAAAAATTGCGTAAAAATACTATAAATCATAATAATTGACAACATAAAATATGTTTTGAAAAAAAATAATAAAAAATTCCACTAATTCTTGAAGTGAATCTATCGTAAAAATACTATAAATCATGATAATTGACAACATAAAATATTTCAAAAATATTGTATGTGGGTAGTTTTATTATGCCTTAAATAGCGTCAAAGAAAGTACAAGTTTGTAATAAAAAAACTTATTCCTTTATCCACACAAACAATCGCTTCAAAAACTCGGTTATTAGCCCCAAAAAATACCATTTATATTATTGGGCCGTGCTATGCACGGGCAACTTTATCTAGTTATATTGATAATTGACTCAAACTTTCGAATTGATAAATAGTGATGAAAAAAATGTCTGAGTCCAGCCCGTTAGCCCGACGGGCCAAAACTCGGCCCTGGCCCATTAGACCCGGTAGAATTGCCTAACGGGTCACAGGCCTTTTTTTCTTGGAATTACTGTTGAGACCAATACAGGCCCATCCCATTAGTGGGGAACCCAATCCGGTATATTGAGAAGGTGTATTTGTAATGCCCGATTCAACCTAGTTAACACGCTTACTTCAGCTTAATGATGTTGAGCGCAACTTGAGTCCAAAGACTTGATGGTTTACGAAATTATGCAATTCAGACAATTCCTTTGAGTATGTATTATAATTGAAATTTTGTGGGTGAAAAAAGTAATTCAACTTAGAAAAGCTCATTCTTAAAAAAGTTAGGAAAATCTTTTCAACCTATATCCAACCATTATTTTGCCAAAAAAATGATTTTGACACATTGTGCCCTCCAATTCCTTGATTTTCCAAAAAGAAGGGGTCTACCCTGTTGGCATCATAAACATAGACTCACAGAGACTCCAAAACCAATCAATGTGAGATTCTTTTCCAAAGCAAGAACCCATTGTACTTTAGTCTACCCACTTTGTTTGGATGGTTGTAACACATTGCTCCATAGTTGAATTATTTTAATAAATATAATATTTGGATAAAATTATATTACTTTCAATCATTGCATAATGTCTCTTCACGTCTTTTTTTTCTTCTCATTGGAGTTATTTAATAAAGACTTGATAGGGTAAGGAAGAAGGGGGAACCCAAATATCCAGGAAAAAGCATACTATTTATTGGAAAAACGGTTCACATATCAACAAATTTGAAGAATAAATCTACAAGAAAAAATGGTACATATAAAATAGGAGTATAACTAGATAATAAGAAAAAGTAACAACAACAAACTTAGTGCAATCCCACGTGTGGGTACACCTGTGTTACCCCTTATCCTTAAGAATGAAGAAATGTTGTTTTCAAAAGATCCTCCTCCATTGAACAAATAGTGAAAAATACATTTAGTAACAAACATAAAAAAGAACAACATAATAAAATTCCGAGATAAAATAATAGGTGGTGATAGAAATTTTAAACTAAGAGAAAAAAAGGAATAATACTAAAATTAAAGAAAGGAAATGAAATCCCCCAGACTACTAACTAACCTTCTATCTTTCGGCCTCCACACCCTCAAAATTGTTATTATATTGTGTTCAAAATAGTAACTTAACAACCCAATTCTGTTTATAATCATAAGATAGAAAAAGAGAAATACTTTAACAGAATTTCAGAAGAACAGAAAATATTCCGAGTCTACAAATTGTTTGTGTCCAAATTATAACCCTCTCACTATTATCAAGAAATTGTGTTACTTTCTCCGAGATAGAATAAAAAATATTTCTTGCACCACTACATCATGCACCATGTTTTTTTAATACATGTGTCCTCCAATTGACAACATACAATGTTAAGGGTAAGACCAGTACATAGTGACAAATACAAGGCCAACACATAGTGACATGTTTGACCTGTCTTGAAACACAAGCCAAGGAATTTGACATGCGTACAAATCAATAACAAGAAAATTCTTAAGGAAGTCGATTGGTGGGATTCCTCAAAGGGTGTACCGCCAACTGATCTTGATTTTTTTGAAAAAAGTCCAAAATCTCTTTTGGAACATAATGGTAAAATATGTTTTGATTCTATTTTTTAGTACGAATATGAATCATGAAAGTGTGACCTAACAATTCTTTAGACTTTCATAAATTTTTTTAAAAAATAATGATATGATCACACCAAATTGATATTAAATAATATAAGACTTTTCGTCATTATTACAAAATGATGGATTAAACAATATAATATAATAAAATTTAAAATACAATTAAAACAAAATATTATATTTAAACTAACAACACAATACAATACAATACAATACAACAGGTGGCAACCATCCATATGGAATCTTGTTAATTAGGCAAGTATCAGACAAGAATATGATTCCCTTAATGACTAATGTCCATTTTACACCTTGTAGAATCTTTTTAAAGAAACATGATTAAATAAATCAATCTCCATAATATATAATCTCCATCTCCTCTGCATCCAACCTTCTTCCAAGGTTGTCTATTTCCCAAACTTAGTCTAAAATGGAAAAGAACCAAACCATCACCAATCACACTCAATCTCAAGGCAAAGGAGTTTGTGAAAAGATTTTCAAAGCACTAAATCTAACTTCAATTTTTCGATATTTTTCCCGAAATCCCAAATCAGAAATAGCAACTAGTGATCATCATCAGAGAAGCGACCCTGCTAGAGTCACGGAATTCAAGCTAGTTTTTCCTCAACAAGATCAAAACTTGTCTTTTGTCTCAAATAAGGTACATGTGGAATATAATCATAGTGAAGTAACCATGTCTAAAACAGAATCCCCTGTACATATGCTTCCAGAGAAAGATTATTCAGAGAGTGCCAGGTTTTCTACGTATATCAATCACGTCAAGAGCAAGATTATGTCTAGCTATGATGATGATGATGATGATGATGATAAACATAAACACCGTATCGATCCATCCAAGTTTGATATCAGAACTACAGCTATTGCTTGTGGGGGTCAAGGCTAGCACTTTGAACAATATTAGCAAACTTGTATGTTTAGCTATCAAAAT